AGAGCTGACGGAGTGGGAGGGGTGAGGTGGTGGGAGTCCTACAGGATGCGGGTGGGTCAGTAACTGTAACACATTTGTGAGCCCTGATGGCTGAGACAATTCCATTTCAGCAAAATAGGGTAGGAGGTTTCATGCGTAAGAAGCAGCATGGCACTAAGTCCAGGTGGTTGGCCTGGTATCCCATGTCGGGGATCGTGTGGACTCTCTTGTGGCTCTTACTGAGGAACAGCTGATTCCTGAACAGCCCATAGTTAGATATCAACACAATGATGTGTGCTCATACTTGACATGGTGGCGCTGGCCATGGGGCAAGGATTATTTGGGGGATGTGCAGTATGAGACCAGATCAACAACACATTCCAGGAGTTGGGTGCTTGCTCATTCGCTAAGAGCTGAACTTTAACCAGAAACCACAGCTCAGCCTTAACTATAGCAGAGCTGGTGCTCCACTGTAATCACAGAATCAATTAAACTACAGACTCCATAGTGACATTAGTTTACAGTCCAGCACTTAGTGAATAGAGTCCACCCCCCACCCCGAGTATTTATTGCTTTGCCAGACAGACTGAGAAGCAGGAGGTTGTGTCTGTTTGTTGTTAGTCCCTGTTCTGTGAGTTGGGATCTGGATGGGAAATGAGTAGGGTCCGTCTGGTCCAAGTGCAGTGACACCAAGACAGAGCAAGAGTTTATGCAGGGGCTGGGATCAAGCTCTCTCCTTTGAAGCTGAACCCTCCAAGAGACCCCTTATTAGACATGTGCTCAGTGGTGAAACATCAGGGTCAAACTGGCCTGTTGATTCTCGAATCATTCAGCCAGAAATCGCTAGAAGTAGAAGGAAAATGAAAATAATTGACAATATTCTAAATAGTACTTTAAATGTACTAAAAGTTATGGATTCTGATAATTGTGTGTTCCAGTGCAGACCCCAGCAGATCATTCTCAGTGTTCAGTTTTTCAGTGTTCTTCCTCAAACCTAGAAAAACAAAATCAAGACAAGTTTTCATATGGAATCCTTTTTGCCATGCTGA